AAGAGAATTTTAACCCCGGAACACCGACATTTGTCTTACCAAGAACGTTGCCGGCTTACAGGCCTCGATCCTTTATGGTTCCGTAGATTACAAAAGGGACTATTTTTGCTATTTAAACTCTTATATAATCACACATTTAATCCACACACCTCTTTAAGACATCATATCCACCCACGACGTAACAGTCACCGTGAGGTCTTTTCATTTCTTCCTCTGGCACGTACTGTTAAATATCGTCGGTTCTTTTCTGTAAATGCAATTGCTATTTGGAATAAACTACCCATGAGTGTGAAAACTCTGCAAAATTTTCCTTTATTTAAGAGAACTATTACTCGATTTTTGCATTCAGAAAAGCTCCCACAAATTTTGGGTGCTGAATCTACTGATCGACTGTACCGTAGCGATGGTGTTTGTGGTCTCTGAACACTATGGTCGGTCTCACCAGCTGTTCCTCAACGCCTCTACTTTGACTATCCCCAACTTCATGAAAGGAATTTGACGTCCGATAATCTCCGATACCTTGCAACCTCCCCCCTTCTTGACGGTCGATATTCTACCACTGCCGACAGTTTTTTTCTCCTGAGCCCTCCAAACCACAAAAACCACCATCAACTATATTTTTATGCCTTAAGCTCAGGAGTTTTTTTCACTGCTGGTCGGATTTTTGTTTAATCGCTTCCCTTGGCAATGCCTGTAAACTGGCATTAAATTAAAATTTATTTATTTATTTATAATTTAGGGTTCTCTGCGGTACGGTTAAGCAGATCCCGTTCGAATTGCTTTCTAGTTTTGAGGATAAGACCCTTGACTCGATTTCTTTGAATTTTGTACGCGCATATAAATGTGGGGCTCCTGTCAGAAAGCGATTTTTTCCACAGCCGTGGTTTTTTATTAACTTCATTCTTCAAGGCTTGCGTAAGCCATCGAGGTCTGTTAGTTAACCTCTTCCATGAAAGCGGACAGTGGTTTACAATCAGCTCGTGCAGAATTTCTCGGAACCGTTGCCAGTCTTCGAGTATACTCCCAACAAATATGGACTCCCACTCAATGCGTAAAATTTCAGCCCTCATTTGGTTGAAATCCCCGCGCCGAAGGTTTCTTCTAACTGTCCCGGGTTTCTTGGGCATGGAAAAAAAGCGAGTTATCCCATAGAAGAACGACGTGGTCACTTTTACCTAAGGGGGGTAGGCATGACACCTCATCAATGCTGTCCTGTGACTTCGTAAGGACAAGATGAAGGCAGTTGGCTTGTTGGCCTTCGCGTACTCTAGTTGGTAACATGACGTGTTGAGTGAGAAATAGCTTCAATGCCGTGTTCAGAAAACTCCTATCGAAGGTCTGTTCTGAGCTATTTGCATGGGTTGAGCTCCAGTCAATATGGGGCGCGTTAAAGTCGCCCATGATTAGGATATCCGGCCGCGTAGCGAACTTTTCGAGCTCCTCCAGCAGGCGAGCGTCAGCCATGTTGTCCCGTCTCGGCGGTCGATAAACTGTCAGGACATCGAGGCTAGGCGAGCTCGGCACTTTAATAGACAGCCAGATTGCCTCGGAACTGCACGAAAAGTTATCGGTCTTGTTTGATACATTTAGCCCATTTTTTACATACGTTAGTACGCCTCCTCCCTGACGCCCTTCCCTATCCCTTCTAAACATCTGGTAGCCAGGCAAGGCCAGCTCACGGTCGTCCACGTGTTGGGTCAACCAGGTTTCTGTTAGAGAGATTACGTCAGGGGATAGGTCGCAGAGGTGGATCTTCAGCTCGTCGAACTTTGATAGCAAACTCTGCACGTTGGTGTACAAGAATTTCAATTTCCGGCTGACGGAAGCTGTGGTTACATTTGGGTTAGCGCCTTCACTTAATATGTCGGCTGCGCGGTCATTCGGACAGGACCTGTTCAAAGGAAGAGTGACGGACGCCGCCGTACTTGGCTGTTGTATATTACTAAATTGTTCTCCCCCTCGCTGAGCCTCTTTCTTAGTTCTAGAACCAGCTGACGACGCTTGAGCCGTTCGGATGGCGAGTAGTCCGGTTGAAAAAAAAACAACGGGGTTGGAGCCTTTAATCCTGAATCGCCTGGAGTAAATGAGACTGGCTTGGTCGCTGCTGGTCAGCACAACTTTAAGAGGTCGGGGTCGAGTGGACATTGATGGATTATCTGCTCGTTTTCCAAGGCGGAAGGCTTTGATCACTTCAATAGCCTCCGTGGGTTCCAAAATATTATTGAGAAGACCTTGGAAGAGTGATAGGTCTTCCGAAATTCGCTCCTTGGGAGTAGTTGCACTTGATTCAGGGAGCCCCTGAATAATAAGACATTGTTCTCTGTCGGTCTCTTTTTTATTTTCAACGGAATTGTGGTTCCCTAAATGACGTAACGCTCTGGGACTACGCGCTGGTGATGGTGGAGCAGATGCGCTTACGCCGTCTGTTTGTTTGACTCTTATGTTGACAATCTTGGAAGAAGTACCTGGCGGAGAAGACTGCGGAGCGAAATCAGTGGCTGTAATGGATGAATCGATTCCACCGCTCGTACTAGGTCTACCAAGCTCGGACTGTTTCTGAGAGTCAGCAAAGGTGTTTGAACACACAGCATTTGTCATGAGGGACGGAGCATCTTTCAATGTCTCTGCTTCGGCCGCTAAACAGGCATCTTCCGGAAGTAGCCGTCCGTTTTTCTCGGCCATTTTACAGTTGGATTTCTTTTTCTCTTCAGTTTATGGGTTGCCTTTCTGGTCGTTATTTTCTCGCTTTTTAGTTATTCCTTCTGGGGCCGCTGTAATAGGTGCTGGCGTGCCTATTATGCTGGGATCTTTTGCCCTACTTCTGGTTACTCGTCCAGTAGGCAAAGTGCTAGCGTTAGCTTGGTCTAGACTGCATCGCAACTGGGCTTTTATCTTTGTGATTTCTTCCTCAAGATAGTTGACCTTGGCGGCTAGAATCTGGCATCCATTGCAGCTTTGGCCTGCATTTTCTGCGTCCGTACAGTCAAGTAGACTATGTGATACCGCTCGCCGGCGTGCTGCGGTGGCGTAGGGGTTAGCGCACTTGACTAAGCAAGGGGTGATCGCTGGACCGATTCCACACCCCGACCCAATTTTGCGGACGTCAGTGCGTACTTCAGTCATGCCGTGAAGTTATGGCAAAGGAGCAGGCCACAAGAATCGAAGAAAAAACGTCGCCTAGGGCCAAATAGGGAAAACTGCGTGAATGGTTGGGTTTGTCGGAGAATCTCAAGAATGCAAGGCCTGGAGGTCTTGTTAACTATGACTTTTTGGTAATATGCCAGGAGTACAAATCTAAGCAGCTCAACAAGCAGTGTAGAAATTATCGACTCAGCCTTTAGTAGGTCCTGTTCCCAAGGTACGGTGGACAATTCGAGACCATATGAAGGATTTGTAGGCTGTGTTGGTTACTCTCAGATTGCCAGCAATTGCAGAAAAGTGTCCTAGTCGTACGATGAAGGCAACGATGACAGCAAGGTTGAGGGTAGTAGGCAACAATGCGTTTGAGAATCCA